TAATAATAATAAAACAAAAAAAAAATTATTGAAAAAAAGATTTAAAAAAAAAAAGATGATTAAAAAAAAAAAAAAAAGTATCTCAGTTAAGTAATAATAATAATAATAATAATAATAATAATAAAGTAAATTAGTTTAATTTAAAAACGAAAAAAAATAAATTTGCCACTATCAAGGAGAATATTCCAGATAATATTTTAAACGATATCCCGAGGGGAAAAAAAAAAAAAATAATAATAATAATAAAAATTATTTGTACTTCACTACTACTACTACTATTATTATTATTATTTGCATTTTTTTTTTTTTATTGTTTTGCGGTCGTATATAAGTCGCAACAACACGTTCATGTTGTCAATTGAAAATGTTTTAGTATCAAATATCAGCCGTTGATTTGAATTTTATTATTATTATTATTATTATTATCATTATTATCATTATTATTATTATTAATATTTTAAATAAAAAATAATTTTATATTCTTTTTTAATTTTAAAAAGTAAAATATTTTTATTATAGTAAGATAAATAAATAAATAAATAAATATATATGTATACACGTATGACGCGCATATACATGCGTACTATATGTGTACTTATAGTCATTTGAAAAAATAGTGTGTCATTACTTAATAAATAAAAGATTTTTTTTAAATTTAATTTAATTTAGCAGAAGAAACAGGAAAAAAATGATCGGAAATAATAATAATAATAATAATTTTTTTTTTTTAAAAAAAAAGTAGAATTATATAAATGGTTGTTCTCTTTGTATAAATAAATAAAACAATGAAAAAAAAAAAAAAAAAAGTGAGGTGCTAGTTATATATATATATATCTAAGCTTGTTTGTTAGCAATATCTGTTTGATATTTTATAAAATAGCTTTTGTAAATTAGTATTAAAAATAAATTAAATTAAAATTTTTTTTTTTTTTATATAATTTGATCTCTTTAAGATGAATCAATAATAATAATAATAATGAAAAAAAATGTGACATGATATAAATGGCCTAGTTTTTTTTATATATAATCATGTACTAAAATGAGTTTTTTTTATTTAAAATAGAAAATTGTTTTTTTTTTTTTTTTTTTTAAATATTCAGACAGATATTGCTGTGTGATTTCAGGCTGTTGTTATTAAATTGTTAAAACCTCCTTTTTGTGTTTTAAAAAACCAAATAAGTAATAATAATAATAATAAGTATTGTTTATTACAACAACAACAAAAAAAAAAATGAAATTAAAATAATAATTCGTCCAAATGCATAAATATGTAATATTTTTTTCCTTTAATTAATTTTTTTTTAATTATAAATGAAAGAGAGATTATTTAAAAAAAATTAATTTTTATATTTGTATACTCTCTCTCTCTCTCTCTCGTATAAATTTAATTTCCCCCCTCCCCCTAGTTTCCGTTTCCGTGAAAAAGTTTATTAAAGTTATAAGCTTGATAATAAATAATTCACACAAAAAATTATTTTTATTTATTTATAATAAAAACAAAAACATTTTCTTTATTTATAATAATCAGGTTTACTGTGTATAAAAAATAAAAATAAATTCATTTATTAATTTCAGTCTTTATTAATTAATACGTTTTTAAAAAAAAATTACAATTAAAAAAATCTTAATTAACAACTTACAAATATGCACAAAAATATTTTTTTTAATTATTATTATTATTATTATTATTATTAAGATTTTTCGGACAAAGACGAAACATGTAACAATTATAATGTATATTAATAATAATAATAATAATAATAATTGCTTATTCGTTATATTCACTAACAAAATTTATATGTAATATCGAGTGGGGTTACACACACACACACAAAAACCCCAATGTTGTTTTATTATTATTATTATTATTACGATTTTATTATATAAGGTAAAGTCACAAAAATAATCAATTTTCTTTTTGTTTTAAAATAATTTTGCTAAAAAAAAAAATATAAATAAAAGAATTAATTATATAATTAAAACAAAAAAAAAAAAATTTAATAGCGTTTGTATATTTGCTTGAATCTCAAAACAAAACAAAAGCTGCCTTTTTTCTTTTTTCGGGGAAAAACTAAGAAAAAATAATATATATATAAATAATTAATCAATATTTTGTACGCAATGGCAATTAATATATAAAAAAAAAAAAAAAAAAAAATTACAATTTATTTTTTTTAAATTTAATTTAATTTACAATTGTGAGAGTCTTATTTTTCTTTCAATTGCTCTTTTTCTTTTTTTATACCGTCTTCGTCCGATGGTCACAATAACAGAAACAACACCAACAGCTGCTATAACGGCTAAACTGAAAAATAACGCATCCGAACTTTGATTTGGTTTATCTCCTAAAATAATAATAATAATAATAATAATAATAATAATAATAATAACAAAGATAATTTTAATATTAAATTTAAATTTTTTTTCTTCCCCGTGTTTGTAAAACTAATTAATTTATTTATTACCGTAAATTTTTTTCGTAGGATTTAATGAATTTAAACTTTGTGGTACGAAATTAAATTCATCCGTGGTAAACACGTGTTCTTGATTTTTAAATTTGATTCCTTTATCTAAATATTCTTCTAGTGGTTTAAAATATTTTAAAAGTGGTTTCGATGAGATTTCAGTTATGTTAAATGTTTCCTCAACTAATACTTGCCAAGGTTTCGATTTGCCTTTTCTTAACAGCCCTCTGTAAGTAATTAATTTTTTAATTTTTTTTTTTTTTTTTTTTCAATCAAAGCCATTTTTATTTTTGTTTTTTTTTTCCATAACTTACGCAAAATTTATTGTCGAATAGCTGAAATTATTAGATTCTAAATTTTCCAATATTTGAAACTGTAATAATTTACCTAAAAATTTGCTGGAAACAACAACAAAAATAATAATAATAATTTGTTTTATTTTCTAATGTGATTTTGTGTTATTATTTACCTTATGTATGGTTTATTCCAAATAATCGTAGAATCCAGCAAATAATCTTCGTAAAATTTACCATCAGGTGATCCGATACCTTGATATTGTTTTCTGTAGTCCCACCAATCTGCCGTTAAATTTGTAGTCCCGTAGGTTCTTTCGTAGGTTTGTCCACTGGTGTAATTCGACATTGGTGAAAATGTTGGTGTTATGGTCGTTTCGCCAACATTTTCAGCAGCATTTTCCGCAACAGCAGAATCAATTTCTTGCAATGCATTTATTCTCCATAAATCGCTGACTAAATAATATGGAAGACTTGCGATTATATCGAGACCGCTCACGATCAAACTAAATATTTTTTGTTTTTCATCATTTTTATTATTATCGCTCGTTAACATTTCATGTTTTTGTAAATTTTTCGGCCATATTGCTCTTAATTTAGCAAAACTTTCCATAGCTTCATATAATACTACAAAAAAAAATAATAATA